ACATCATTGTGAAGATGTTGTACTTCTGGGTGGAGATGATGTACATCAGGGTGGAGATGATGTACATCAGGGTGGAGATGATGTACATTAAGGTAGAGATGATGTACTTCAGAATGGAGATGATGTGCATTAGGGTGGAGATGATATACATTAGGGTGGATATGATGTACATCAGGGTGGAGATGTACATCTGGGTGGAGATGATGAACATCAGGATGGAGACGATGTACATTAGGGTGGAGATGATGTACTTATAGTTAATATAATACGAGTTTACTGTTAGTAATCTGAGCGGAGAATTGATGTCAATACATTGTGTAAGGGTGGTTACCATACATGTACAGCTTGTGTAGAACAGCCATAGATTTCTTGTAGACAATGTACAGCAACAGGCTGAGAATTAATCCTAGGGAGGGGGCTTGGGATGTGATGGGTGAGAAAAGAAAATTAGGAGTCTGGATATGATGGAGTGGGAAAGACCAGGAATATGGATCCTGTTATGAAGTTTGAAGGTCTTGTGGTTAGGGTTGAATATGATGAGTTGGAAGGTCTAGGGGTGTGGTTCTAGACATGATAGAGGTGGAAAGTCAAGGAATTGGGATCTGAACACGAACATGATGGAGTGGAAAAGGTCTAGGGATGGGGGTCTGGAGATGAACATGATGGAGTGAAAAAGGTCTAGGGATGGGGGTCTGGAGATGATTGAATGTGAATTCTAGGGGTTGGGGCCTGGACTTGTTGGAGTTGGAAGTTTAAGGGGTTGGGATCTGAACATGAACATGATGGAGTGGAAAAGGTCTAGGGATGGGGGTCTGGAGATGATTGAATGTGAATTCTAGGGGTTGGGGACTGGACATGTTGGAATTGGAAGTTTAAGGGGTTGGTATATGGAAGTTTTAGGGGTTGGGATCTGGACATATTGGAGTCGGAAAGACAAGGAGTTGGGGTCTGGATTTGATGGAGCTGGAGGACTAGGAGTTGGGGTCTGGATATGATGGAGTTGGAAGGACTAGGAGTTGGGGTCTGGATATGATGGAGTTGGAAGGACTAGGAGTTGGGGTCTGGATATGATGGAGTTGGAAGGACTAGGAGTTGGGGTCTGGATATGATGGAGTTGGAAGGACTAGGAGTTGGGGTCTGGATATGATGGAGTTGGAAGGACTAGGAGTTGGGGTCTGGATATGATGGAGTTGGAAGGACTAGGAGTTAGGGTCTGGATATGATGGAGTAGGAAGGACTAGGAGTTCCAGTCTGGATATGAATATGATGGATTTTTAATGTCTAGGGGCTGGGAGTCTGAAGATGATGGAGTTTACAGGTCTAAGGGTTGGGTATAGATAAATTTTGAATCACTCTATATAAAGTCAGCCCCATTCAAATCACTTTATATACAGAGGGCCTCATTTCAAATAACATTATATAAAGAGGATTTAATTTTGAATCACTTTATATAAAGTCAGCTCCATTTCAAATAACTATTTAAAGAGGAGTTTATTTCAAATCACTTTATATAAAGAGGGCCTCATGTCTGTATTGGATCGAGTTTGATGGTTTAGAGGTTGGGGTTGTGATATGAATATGATGGATTTTTAATGTCTAGGGGCTGGGAGTCTGAAGATGATGGAGTTTACAGGTCTGAGGGTTGGGTATAGATATATGTAATTGTTTTGCATGAAGAGAAGTTCATGTCAAATCACTTTATATAAAGAAGAATAAATTTTGAATCACTCTATATAAAGTCAGCCCCATTCAAATCACTTTATATACAGAGGGCCTCATTTCAAATAACATTATATAAAGAGGATTTAATTTTGAATCACTTTATATAAAGTCAGCCCCATTTCAAATAACTATTTAAAGAGGAGTTTATTTCAAATCACTTTATATAAAGAGGGCCTCATGTCTGTATTTGATCGAGTTTGATGGTTTAGAGGTTGGGGTTGTGATATGAATATGATGGATTTTTAATGTCCAGGGACTGGGGGTCTGAAGATGATGGAGTTTACAGGTCTGAGGGTTGGGTATAGATATATGTAATTGTTTTGTATGAAGAGAAGTTCATGTCAAATCACTTTATATTAAGAGGACTCTTTGTCAAATCACTTTATATTAAGAGGACTCTTTGTCAAATCACTTTATATTAAGAGGACTCTTTGTCAAATCACTTTATATTAAGAGGACTCTTTGTCAAATCACTTTATATTAAGAGGACTCTTTGTCAAATCACTTTATTTAAAGGGAAGTTATATTGAATCACTTTATGTTCATGTCAAATCACTTTATATTAAGAGGAGTTCAACTCAAATTGCTTTATATAAAGGGGATTTTTTCAATGAAGATTGTTATCACAATTTTATGTGAAGTACTGGATGGATATCTCCCAAATTTCATTTGTAGTTTCCCCTTTGTCCCTAAGTTGTGTCTGTTTATTTTTGGGACTGATCAGGAAAACAAAATGGCATAACAGATGACCATCTTTGATTTTCACTTTGAAATTTTGTTCACTAGTTCTTGAAAATAACTGAATAGATCTTACACTGATTTCATGTGTAGGTTCCCCATGATCCCTAGTTGTGTCGGTTTGATTTTTGAACTGATCAGAAAATACAAACCAGTTTCCAGTTGACCATCTTGGATTGGCAGTGGTGGGAGAAGGGTGTGTGTATGTGTGTTATATTGGAATCACCCTGTCTGATTGTCTGACCGTCGGCTGTCCGGAATATTGTGTCAAGTGTATCTAAAGACATGCTGAAGCAATATTTTTTCAAACTTTGCATACTACATCCATATGATATAAAATTGTGCTCTTTCACTTTTTGTATCATTTCGACAACATTTTGTAGAGTTATGCCCCTTTGTGTAGATATTCTGTATGGAATATTGTGTCAAGTGTATCTAATGAAGTACTGAAGCAATATTTCTCAAACATGGCATGCTACATCCTTATGATATATAGGTATGCAATTTCTCTTTTCTTTTAAAATTTATTAAATGCTGCAGCTAATTATAGCCTATGATTTGACATATTAGGAGTTCCAAAACTGTTACCATGGAAACACATTGGAGGCTTCTGATTGGTCAAAATCAGATTAAGTTAAAAATTGGTATATAAAGATTTAGGGGTATGATAAATACAATGATTTTTTTTATTTTGAAAAATTGTTTCCATTTGGCAGCCATGGTGACCAAATTAAGACCTCTTGGAAGAATCTTGTATGGACAACCTCTCTTAAACTATCATTGATTGGGGAGTAGGGGGTATTAGTCGGCCATCCTGGCAACTGTTCTAGTTATCACTATTTCTGCAAAGTATAAATGTTCAAATGTCTTATCATTAAGAGCAAAAACAGAGAAGAAAAAAGGGAAAAGATCCAATGTTCAAAGAGCAAATAAAGAGCAAAAAATAATGGATGCCAACCCTCTGGGTTCCTTTGTTTCAAGAAGTAAAATATTTTTGTGTAGTGCAACCGATCCTTCTCAAAACCAATCACCCTTTGAAACCGAATGAAATGGCGATGTCCTCTACATTATAGTAACAAAAACCTTCCCAAATATTGATCCCTCTTAATTCAGAACACCATACTGAATTTGTGTCCAAATGATTTAAAATGTACTGAAAATCACTTCTGAAAACTGGCCTTACTTGAACAATCAACACCCGAGTTCCGACCAGCTGACCATGAAATCAACACCTGTGGTGACAGTCGTAAGATTTGCGCCCCAGCGCTCCTATCACTGGAAGGCTTTGTACACAATATCTATTCTGATTTGGTGGATAATAATCAACATAATGGAGTTAACTGCAATGACAAATTGAAACTGTATCAAACAAATCCATCGGTTCACCTAAGTGAGATGTAGCTACAAATAAAATGAAAATAAGTACTGATGCAGAGATAGAAAGCTGCAGTTTCGCATCTAAATTGCGAGTAATTGAATAATGCTTGTTTACACATACAGAACGTAAATGGTAATCAAGTTTTCTTTTAGAAGATAAGTTTTTATACTGATCAACAAAAGCACATATTCATCAAATATACAGATTAGTAACACTTTCTGACAAGCCATCCAGCCATCGGACCGGGGCCACGTTGGGCCATATGTAATATTGTGTTGCTTCCAAGATCGCTAGCAATGCGTAGGCTTGTAGATTTCTTTTCAACTAAAGCCACTTATAAAATACAAGTATCACTGCTACTGAAATATTTTTGCTTTTTAAAACCTTTTTTCTCTATTGAATTGAATGTGTGAAGTGTAAATGCTGAAAGTGAATAGAAACGGTTCATGTTATGAACAAGGCGAAATCAGTTCAATTTTATCAGTCTGGACCGGTCAACTTGCTATACTTCTGCAAACTGAACCTTCCCTAAACCAGCTAGATATTCATGTCTCGTGCATGGTCGGTTCGGAGAAGTTCCACTGTATTTGTGTTAAGAATGAATTCTGCTGTTTTCTGTTTTACATTGTGTGTAATTTGCAGGATATTCAACATTAAATGTGAGAAAGAGGAATATTAAAATTTAGTAATTTCAAGTATTGGAGCACTTTTAGACCTGATTGCTTGTAAACTGAGCAGAGCATAAATTTTTCAGACCTAGAAATATACATTTCAATTTTGCTTGTATAAATCCTTAGACAGTTATATTAAATAGAGTGATGTTTCAGTTGTCTGATATTCAAAAGTATCAAACACACTGTTGACCATGTTTACAGGTCTGATATATCTAAATGGAATGACATCTTATTTAATGGTTAAGCTGCCACCATTATTACCAGTTTCTGTGGATATTTCAATAGTCTAAACTATTAGTCTGATTGGAGACAATTCTATATCAATACTTGGCAGGTGACTATTTTTCTAAATCAAAGCTGTTGCTGTAATAGAATTGACTGAATGTTTTTCTTAACTGATAAGTTTCAATGTTGTAACACAGGTAGAAACTTACAAGTATAGATGTCATTAGCTAAAAATGATTTCAGATAAAATTTTCTGATTACAGATCCCACTGGATGGAGTTTTCATAGATTAAATCATTGTTTTTCTGGAGATCTCATTATTGTCACACCTGCTGCATTATAGATTGGATGGACATACAGGTAAAATTAAATACTCTAAGCAGAACTGACATATTTGTATCTGTGGCATGTGAATAATACGCTCTCATAATCATTTCAACACTGCATGATTACTTCCCTTTGATGCACATGCATGACGGAGAGTGCAACATTATCCTGGGGACCAATACTTTTATACAATCCATGGCATACTGTGTATTTCAGTAGTGTATTGAAATTGGAATGTCGATTCTGCAGGGATCCAGGTTATGATAGGTTCAGATTATACCAGGTTTAGTTTATTAGATGTACAGATATTATACAGAGTTCTGATTATACAGATATTATACACTGCCCATATTATACAGATATTATACACTGCCCATATTAAACAGATATTATACACTGCCCATATTATACAGATATTATACAGTGTCCATATTATACAGATATTATACACTGCCCATATTTTACAGATATTATACACTGCCCATATTATACAGATATAACACAGGATCCATATTATACAGATATGATAGAGAATTCAGATTATACAGATATTATAGAGAATTAAGATTATACAGATATGATAGAGAATTAAGATTATACAGATATTATAGAGAATTAAGATTATACAGATATTATAGAGAATTAAGATTATACAGATATTATAGAGAATTAAGATTATACAGATATTATAGAGAATTAAGATTATACAGATATTATAGAGAATTAAGATTATACAGATATTATAGAGAATTAAGATTATACAGATATTATAGAGAATTAAGATTATACAGATATTATAGAGAATTAAGATTATACAGATATTATAGAGAATTAAGATTATACAGATATTATAGAGAATTAAGATTATACAGATATTATAGAGAATTAAGATTATACAGATATTATAGAGAATTAAGATTATACAGATATTATAGAGAATTAAGATTATACAGATATTATAGAGAATTAAGATTATACAGATATTATAGAGAATTAAGATTATACAGATATTATAGAGAATTAAGATTATACAGATATTATAGAGAATTAAGATTATACAGATATCATAGAGAATTAAGATTATACAGATATCATAGAGAATTAAGATTATACAGATATTATAGAGAATTAAGATTATACAGATATTATAGAGAATTAAGATTATACAGATATTATAGAGAATTAAGATTATACAGATATCATAGAGAATTAAGATTATACAGATATCATAGAGAATTAAGATTATACAGATATTATAGAGAATTAAGATTATACAGATATTATAGAGAATTAAGATTATACAGATATTATAGAGAATTAAGATTATACAGATATTATAGAGAATTAAGATTATACAGATATTATAGAGAATTAAGATTATACAGATATGATAGAGAATTAAGATTATACAGATATTATAGAGAATTAAGATTATACAGATATTATAGAGAATTAAGATTATACAGATATTATAGAGAATTAAGATTATACAGATATTATAGAGAATTAAGATTATACAGATATTATAGAGAATTAAGATTATACAGATATTATAGAGAATTAAGATTATACAGATATTATAGAGAATTAAGATTATACAGATATTATAGAGAATTAAGATTATACAGATATTATAGAGAATTAAGATTATACAGATATTAGAGATAATTCAGATTATAATTGGATCAGTTCATAAAAAGTTCAGATTATAGAGCATTCATATTATACATATGAAATAGAGGAGTCAGATAGTACAGGGTTGGCATTATTCAGCTTTAGACAGAGATCAATGTTAGTACTTTATTTTGATGAAGAATATCATGACAGCTTATATTTGATTTTGGTGTATTTAACAAAGCTTGATTATAGTGGATATAAACATATGCACATTAATAATTTTAAGCGATTAATTGATGAAAGTCAACACCACAGGTGACGCATGTACACATTTTATCATATCACATAGCCTTGTTATGTACCATTAGAGATCTTGTCATTCAAGTATTAATTAAACAACTACAGTGTACTTGTAAATGTAATGAAAATTTCCACGATATTCACTCCACTTATGGAGAAAACCGGAATAGATTCATTACAACGGAAGGTACCTACGCATCAGTTTACATGGTATCTTGTTTACTCAGTAAGGGTGTGGTAGTACAACCACATGCATTGTCATCTTAATAGGGTTTTTTCTTTTTTTTTAATAAATATCAAACCCTTTTATTGATGTCTATAGCTTTATCGAAAAAAAAAAATGTATTTGTACTTTTTTGTGGGTGTATGACCACAATGAAAGAGGTTTACTTCAGGCTGTGTTGGAATATAGGTCGGTTAAGTTTAGGATATGTATTATAACGTAAAGAGGTCATTACAAGGGTTATGGACCCCCTCCCTGGTAAGTACATATTATCCCTACCAGACTGGGTGGGACTTTTCCACTATCATGCAACAGTGACATGCAAATCGCCACTCAGTAAACCTGCCACATATCTACATGTCAAATCTTCTGCAAACAAAACACTGCACTTAAGGGACACCTAAAAATCTCTGTTTAGAAATCGTGTTTTCAGACAGGATTTTTATGGAATTTTGTAAAGGTTTTCTTTTGAAGGTAAGATGATTGTGTTTTAATCATTACTCATAATTCAAATTTTATGTTTTATGTAGTAATGCAAGAAGGTGTAAGTGAAATGTTATCATTGGGACCGTAATGTTTCAATGAGTTTCAGGACAATTTTTTGTTCTTATTTTTTTCTTAATTTACAAAACAGTAACAAAGATGAAGTATTTAACATATACATAATATTTCATGTGAAAGGGTTGTATAAAAAGGTAAACAGAACCTTGCTATACCAAGGATTGTATACAGAACACACAAGCAGAAAGCACCTCTCAATATATAGTTATTAGTAGATACCTTTATGCCAAATGAATTTGTTGCTAGCTATAAGTGTGGAAACCAAGAAGGTTATCAAGTTATATGGAAATCAAAATTGGCCAAAATGAATGTAATAACACAGATGTGGAGGCATGCAAACCACGAAATTCAATCAATCTTAGAAACAATATTGGATAAACTATGCTATGTACATGTGAATTAGGTGTCACTATTCATATTAGATTTACAACATTCTTTGTCAAGTAAATCAACATGGAAAACAGATACTTTTGAAAATGCTTCATGTTAGATATGATGATTGAGGGAGATTTCTGTTTTAATGTGAAAGTCTTGGATTTGTGTTGTGTTTACCGTGTGCACTCTTTATGTATAGACTTCTGAATAACAAAACTGGTAGTGGTAAACCTCAAAATACAGTATATTCTACCTGTCAATCACCGTGTAATTTCAAAAAAGGTGTTTAAATATACTAGGAAAATTTTCTCTTTTTTCTTTGTGTTTGAAAATTCAGAAAAATACTGGATATCGTTTTAGAGTTTTAGATGTGAAAAATAAATAAAAAGACAATAAATAAAAGTTTTAGAACTAGAATAGCTGTGACAATCTGTGATTGATTAGTAGGAGAAGTTTCCATAACAAGTCATTTATAACCAGTATTTTGTGCACTTTTCATGATGAAGAAGAAACATGTAGACAGAGATGATTATCTCAATGTTTGATCACAATATAAATCTATAAATAAAACAAGTACTTTCTGCTAAAAAAAAAAGTACAAACACACCTCCAGACTGCCTGATGAGATGCTGGAAGAAAAGTGGTACTGCATTTCATATTTGGCGATCTGGCTGCTTAGTTGTCCATCTGTCCCACATCTTGTAAAATTGTCTTCACTCACAGTTTTTATCATTTATTTCAATTTTTGTACATGGTATCAGTATGATTTCAAGGTCTTGTTCTTTTAGCAGAGTTATGTCCCTTTTACTACTTCAGTTTCTGAAATTAAATCTTTCTGCAGGTTTTTTTTTCTGGACTAGCATCCTAACATTTTTGCAGAATTTCACTGTGTATTACATCTGAACCCCATATAACACTTCATTGGTGGTAGGGGAGGATAGCCACGTGGATGGGCACCATATGGGAGGGGGAAGTGAGGTGGGGGACATTATAGTATCATACAATTCCTAGAAAGATATATTTTTAATGTCATTTTAATAACAAAGATGGTGTCCTGGGATATTTTGCTATGAAGGTTAATGTATTATTATACAACATGTGTTTTATGTATGATGGATGTGGGTCACAAGCTGACATTCTGTTGGTGTATATCATATAAATCAAGATGATGATGTGGGGGCGGTTTATAGATCCAAAACATAGGGGAATCCTAGTCAATATTACAGAATATAGTTCTGAGGCAATTTCAATATAATGTTCTGTTTCATATTTGTCATATTGCAGATCAATGGGGAATACAACAAACTATACAAAGGTTGATCAGAGATAAATATGTTAATGTGTATCTTCTTCCAAATGATGTCTATCTCTTGAAACTTGGATCATATATATCTTTAATTCCCCAGGATTCCTGATTAATTTTATAGTTTTCCGTAACCTCTTGCAATGATTTAATTGACAGAATACTCACGACAAAGGTATACTATATTGTGTTAGCCAAATAGATTATTGAATTGTCAGCAAATATCTGTCATTTATAACTACTATAAATGTCGCTATAAGACTGAAGTTCAGTGCTTAGATATACATACATTGTGTGATGTAATCCTTTGCCAAAATTAATTTTTCCATACACATGCTTTTAGAAGTTATGTTGAAGTATTACTCCACTGAAATGTATCAAGTTATTAAAATTCACATGAAATACTTGTATATATAATGTTTGTTCTTGACGCCTTGAACAAACTCATTGATTAAATGCTATTTACTTTTGAATTTATAAATCATTGAAATATAAGACTTTGTTAAAATATCACCCTGCCGAGGTCTAGGTAATCATGATTCTGTCTACTGCTAAATCTAGTCTGCTGCTGGACTGTGAATACCTTCAGTATAATAAGCTTGGTAGATAAACATTGTCATATTTAATTAATATCTGCTACATCTGTTGTCATAT